TTTTGTCGAATATTACTTATTTGACAGTAATTGTTTCGGACGGATGTTGGACGGAGATCGAAAGTAGACCCCCAGGTCGGACATCTCGTCTCGTAACTATGTGAGTCGAATTCTGGGAACGTTTAAAAATGTTGGCGGGATCACTTAACCAAGCATATGTGTTTAGCGTACAGGCATCGGACACGTCCATTAAGTCTTGGCGCCAAGAAGAGTTAGGAAGTGACACGTTGATTGGCCTTGAGTCGTAACATAGTGAAACGGTGATTGTCCTTGCGTCGTAACATAGTGACACGTTGATTGGCGTTGTGTCGTAATATGTGACACGTTGATAGGCCTCGTATCGTAACATAGTAACACGTTGATTGGTCTTGTGTCGTAACATAGTGACACGTTGATTGGCCTTGTGTCGTAACATAGTGACACGTTAATTGGCCTTGTATCGTAACATAGTGACACGTTGATGGGCCTTGTGTCGTAACATAGTGACACGTTGATTGGCCTTGTGTCGTAACATAGTAACACGTTGATTGACCTTATGACGTAACATAGTGACACGTTGATTGGCTTTGTGTCGTAATATAGTGACACGATGATTGAGTATGGTGTTTCCTGATATAAGTTATGTTTTGCAGTTGACCATGAAGTTTCAAACTGAAGGTATCATGAGCGTCTTGTGGTGCTCCGGGTCAGGCGGGCGATCAGGGTTACTCATCTGGCTATAATCTGTACAGGAGGTAGATGCAGGTAGCTGATCGAGACAACTTGAGCATTGATAGCGAAGCAGGTATATTGAAAGCCAGCCGTCAGCAATCCAGCAATCCAGTAATCAAGGAGTATGTTGTATAGTTTCTAAATGCCTCCTAACTATTTCGACATGTTAGTAGAAGTTATACACCATTGTCTACATTCCACGACCTTGTGAATATTTCCCGACATAGTGAAGGTTCTTGTCTCCCATCATGATGCGTGTTTTCCGGATAAGATGATAATATTTGTCCTCCTTCGCGATAATTACCGTCCGATTGAATTACTATTAACATCCGCTAAAACATTGGAAAGTTTCATGTCGAAGAAACTATACTCATTTTGTCAAAATATAATTTATTTCACGATACTAGAGTACCTATATAGTATATAAAAATGCTGTTTTTTTATATATAATAGACACACGCTTGGCCACAATCTCACCTGATGTTAAGCGACCATGTGACCGACGATGGGACGCGTTTGCCTAGAAAATGTTAAGTTTTATTTTGTTATTGTCATTCTTTCAGTAATATAGCAAAATATTTATCAAAATTGGCAAGGAGCATGAAGTAATAAAGTAATTTTCTTCTTATTAAATAATCTTGTAAAAAAAGTCTGCTACAATTTTTGAGTATTTTCATGCTCTGATTACAAAACAGGCAGATGGAGCATATGGAATAAACAATGTGAAGCCGCTTTTCATTTATTGTGTGCGTGACAACTAGAAGGCGCGCTGTAGAGACATGCGCATTTGTGTGCGTGTAAGATTGCCAGATGCAGCGAAAAACTCCCACATTTTTTTTCTGTTGCTTTCTATAATACTAACGTTACAGACTGGAAATAGTTATTTGTTATGCTAGGCTGCAAAGTTGTTAGAATCTTAGAATCCTTTGCTTGCTCAATTTTCAATACAAGCACCCGCGCCAAACAACAACTTTGCAGCCTTGCATAACAAATAACTATTTTATTTAAATGGCACGTTTCCTTTCAAAATCATTCTGTTTATGACATGTGCACACAACAGTTAATGTTCTCTGTATCTATAGGGCTACATTTTCTTTTGTATACATAACACCTATTAGACATTGATTAGAGAATAATTTAGGCAAATCTGAGTTACCTAAATAACAATTTTGGACCAATCTGTATGTATATGCATGCATAAATTAATTTCTTTAGAAAAGCATAAATTAATCAATTCTCCTATCACCCATGCATATTTACCTAATTTATAGGAAACCTATTTCGATATAAACTGGCAACACAAACGACTTTATATCGAGGTTTTGTGTTCCGAGTGAATCTCAAAAAGTATTGGGTAAATGAATTACAAAACAGCTAAATAATCAATAGTTTTCTGTGAAAAGATATTCCATCTTATTTTTTGTTTTTGGAAATAACTTTTAGAATGTTTAAAGAGACAAAATTTTTAAACATAAAATAACTAATCACTCATGACGTGCAAACAATGCGACGCTGCGCTTAGCTAGTATAGCTAGCACCACAAACTAATAAGAGATTGGCTAGCACTGACGCGAGTTTGTGTTCGCTTGTGAATTTCTATTTGCTTTGGTCGCTTCCACTTTCGTGTTCGGCACGCTCCATCTGCCTATGTTTTGTAATCTGAGATTTTATTGGATTACAATTCTCCCTTCCTGTGGCCATAATCCATTAGGAGGAAATCCCAACGCTCTCAAAAAAGTTAAGGGTGCAGTTTGCGTATACAGCATAAACTAATAGAAGATATGGTATACAGCGTTTTTTTAATGGGTTAGTATGGGGAATACGAAACCATAGAAGGTCAAGAGCACGTTGGAATAAAGTTGGATTTAAATCTGAAGTGTCAAGCTTGACGTGCTCTTGACCCTGTACAGTCAAGAGCACATCAAGCTGGACACTTTGTACTTTTGGCCCGTTCAGTAAGCGGCATAGAGTTGGAAGCTTGACGTGCTCTAGACTTTATATTTTTCCATCCTCTAAGCTCTAGACCCTGTACAAGGAAACTGTCTATACGTACCATTGAGCTATTTTTTGTGAAAATAGTCATCATAGATATAATTATGGTAGTCGTAGAGGAGAATCTGCGATGGTAGTCATAGTCAATTTTTGGTCAAGCGTGAGTTGTCCACAGAAATCTAAAATTAATAAAATTTACTAATATTTTTTAATGCAGATAGACTCGGCTTCTTATAAAAAATATTTTGTTGTATGAGAGGAAAAATATCGGGACGGCAGAAGTTGACCAATGTAATAAAATTATTTTTCATACAAAATAAATAAAACTTATGACGCCGCAATAACCCGTACTCGAAGCGACTACCATTTTGCCGCACTCGACTGCAAGGAAGGATTGAACTTCTATGGAAAGCATAGAGGGAAATACTGTATTGGGCTGTATGGTGAAACCTTTGCCTGCCCAAATAAATGAGTGAAGACATCCCTCTTTCTTTACCAGATCTCCTGAAAAAACAAGAATGTTATCCAATTTTATATTATTTCGCTAGAAGCACTATCGAAGATATTTAATTCTTGTAATGGAATACAAGAAAGAGATTACTCTCAGTCTCGGCAGTATGGCGCATTAGTCCCTTTGCCCTTTCCAAGAAAAAACAGCACCAAAAAAAAAAAAAAGAAAAAATAAACTATTATTTATTAAAGATGGTTATTTTTATAGAATATATTTAATAAAAATATTAATAATGTCAACTGACTGAACTAATGTAAAATATGTGGGTTTTCGGCTATGGCTCTTTGGTGTGGAAGGTCGACTTCATGTATGAGAAGCGAGTCATTGGTCATATCAAAGGTTATCTTAGAAGATTCTACCAGCACAGCATTGACCACCGAGGCATTCCCGATAAAGTAAGTGTTAACAATAATTATTTAATAATAATAATAATAATAATAGCCCCGCACTAGGGAAACCCTGTGTCGCGGGTGCCATGGACACACATAGACAACCATCCAAACTCACGAGAGAAATAAATGTAGGCCGTACAAATATTTCTCCTGGCCCGGGAATCAAACCTGGGACCTCTGCGTGGCAGTCTGGCATGGTAACCGTTCGGCCACAGAGGCAGTAGACTTCCTTTGTCCTTTGGACTATGAATAACCGTGTCTAAATATTTCATTAAAAGCTATTGTGTGCCTGAATATTCTATAAATTTGGACACAGTTTCTAACATCACCCAGAGAAAATTTTGTTGTAATAAAAACGTTTCTGTACTCTTCAGCCTGGACGTGTAGTAACACTAGTGCCATCAGGTAACTTGGAGGACACAGTTTGGGGCATAGCATATAAAATCAAGCAAGAAGACTCAGAAAAAGTGACAGAGCATTTAGACTTCAGAGAGAAAAACGGTTACACGAGAAAATCTGTTATGTTCTATCCTCAAGATCCAAAAATGAAACAGTTTCCTCTTACCCTCTACATCGCTACAGAAGACAATGAATCATATGCAGGTAAGGTCATTAGTGTAATAAATAATATGCTTATTATAATACAACGTAGTGTCTCTTGACTCAAAATGTTTAAAATAGACTATTATTGTTTTAGTTTTGCTCATTTTGAGGGACTGAATTCATTGTTTTATCGTCATAGTACTGAAAGTATCCAATAAGATTATGTTTTGATTGCATACTGTATCACTCACACATTTTTGCGACACTGGCAGTCCACATTCAGATAAATTTAATTCACTGTGGAATTTTATTGGCTTGATTGCAGTAGAAAAATAAAAGCTGTCAATTGTATTATTAGAGTAAGGTGTCAGTACTACAGTTGTGTTTTTAAACACATGCTATGTTCACAATTGCAGGACCTGCTTCAGTAGAGGACATTGCAAAGCAGATTATCAATTGTAGTGGCCCAAGTGGCACAAACAAGGATTATGTTTATAAACTCGCTGAAACCCTGAGAAATCTAATGCCTGGTGTTAAAGATGATCATCTCTTTGCTCTTGAGGAAGCTTTGAAGAAACTGGAGATGGCTGCCCAACCAAAGAAAACTTGATAATGTGATTCAGTTCTGCAATAATAAGAAAGAACAGAAAGGTGTACACATGTTTGGGCTAATCTTGTATGTTGTATATTATGTGCAACCATTTTGTTATCCATACATATACATCCAAGTGGGTGTTGGAGAATTAGAAACACTGTTTGCTTAAGCAAAAGAAATATGTTTATACTTATACGTTAATCAGGAACTTTGGTGGCAACACTACTACCAAGGACCAATTACTTAAGTAGGGCAACTTGTGCGAGAGCAACATAAAGCAAGAAATCTCTATTCGAGAATAGCCTTATCTTGCGCTTTATGTCGCTCTCGCGCAAGGCGCGCCCTGTCGCACTAGCCTTACCGTTTTCGATTGTCATGATTCTATTACCACAGACCTACAAATTGAGTTATTGGTCCTTTCTACTACATAAGTTATATTACTTAAGTGTGAATAAATTTGTCAGCTGCCAAAAAGAGTGTTGGGAAATTTAAAAAGTTAAACAATTCAAAGAGAGTCAATAGGCTATGGTGTTCACAAAATTGTTATCAATACAAGGTGTTAAAAAAAAACCTTTGTTGGCAAAAAATACACTAGGGAATTGCCCCTAGCCATTGTTGTAAACACTTCTGGAATGCTGTTTTTGGAATCTTGAGCAACCATTCCATCGCGTTGCTCATGGTGAAAAAAACAGCCAAGTCACATGGAGCTATGTTGAGTGAGTAGGGAGCCTGACAAACTACAGTAATGTTGTGTTTGGCGAGGAAAGCCTGAATCAAATGTGCAAAATGCATGATACTCCTTTGTGATAGTTTAGTCTTGTGCTGAAGTTGTCGCCCCTGCTACATTGGTTTACGCGCGGTAAAAAAAGATTTGATATTCTTTTAACACCATTCATACATAATTAAAAACTACACTAAGCCTCTGTGTATGAACCTGTTGTCAAAATAATTACTAATATCAGGGGCAAGCCAAGTCGCAAAACCCCTGATCAGAAATGAATACTGATAGGTTGTGTAATGATGTACAGGGTGAATTTCAAGTACCTATCAATATTGACAGTAATGCATTACTGTCGATATTTATACTTAAATGTAAAATTAATGGTGTTCCCTTAAATTAATATACTCGAAGGAATTAATCCATATAATTTTATTGACCCTTTCAAGGTTAGATTTTCGGATGAGGCAAGGAACTTTGAAAATGTTTTGAATGCGGTATTCCTTACATTTAAAAATAAAATAACGTCTCCATGAAGCAAAATATCGATTTAGTACACATCCGTCATATTCCAGTTTCGTCAGAAATGATTTTTTCATGATTTCAGTTCAGGTTCGTCAGGAATGACGAATGTGGACAACCAATAACGACACTCGTCAAATTCCGCTTTCGTCATATGGATTTAGTACACATCCGTCAGATTCCTCTTTCAACAGATAATTTCTTTTTTCCATATAGGTCAGAAATTTACTTATCTCCTTAGTATATATACCTTTTTGAATAAGTTGCTATTATTACTAGTTAATATTATTTATTTTTATCTATGATTAAATCTATATAAAATATTTAAAGTACTTTTCCTCCATGTGCCATGGGTGTGGAATACCCTGTATTGTATGTATAGATAAGGAAAACTGACTGTTCATATGCATTCAAGTATAGTGGTACACAACTTTGCTTTTCTTTGTCTACTCAAAGTACAATGGTGCTTATGCACATCCTTATGTAATAATCTGTCAGTATTTTCCTTCAGTCTTCGTCTTATTCTTCTCCTTTGCCTTATACTTACTTTAAAGTGCGCGTACATCTTGTGATCTAAGTAATTCTTTCCCTGTGTTGTCACGAATAGAGCTTCACATAAGTGCACTTTAAAGTAAGTTTATGGTCAAGATTGAAGAATTTTTTTGTGAGCCATTCTAATCTGAAATTTAAAAATAATATGACGTCAAATTATTTATACTTACAATCATTGTCATACTTATTTGAATTAAAAGGATATAAATTTTACATGAAAACAATGGTTTTTAAGAGAGAAAGAACTTTGGCGCGTTATTGCGGTATAAAGTGACAATCCTAGTACAGGCAGTTAGTACCTACTTTAAAAACGTTTAAATATGAACAACGACTATGGTTCTTATATCATCAAGCAAACGTTTTATTTTTATTTTTGTATACTTCAATGAGCTACAATAATTCAATTAATAACATTTTGATCAAACGGAGATTCTTTGTTGTAGTCGTAGAGTTCATATCACAAAGTTCCGAAAAAATCCTACCTTAATGGAGATACTGATTGTGCATAGTAACAAACAAATGTAGCAAATAAGTAATTATTGTCAATTAATAAACATAATTTGCCTCCCATATGCGCACATTACAGGAGGAACAAATATCTGCTACAAACCTATATACATCTCATTGTGATTCACTAAGACTACTAAGAACACAAGCATAATGTTTTTAGTATCTGTTTAAATAGCGTCTAAATACTACTTAATTTAAAACATCTTGCAAATGAAACTAAATACTGTCGTAACTCAATATTGAGAAAATACAATTTGAAAATGAAAAATACTGAATGGATCTTATTGCGAATAATGTGATTATTTTTATTTATACATAGTACTTCATTATATTGGTTTCAATCAGTTTTTTTTTACATTTTGTAATCATGTTTTTTCTATTCCACAATTTTGAGTTACGACAGTATTTGAGATCGATCGATCTTTGAAACAGTAGCTACAATGCAGTTCGCTTATTGTTAACAGTTTATTATAAATAGCGCACAGCAATAACAATTCGCATAGGAAAATTCTCTCTCTCGGTAGTGACAGATTCTCAATTTACACAGCTTTGATTTATGAATATTTAAAATGCATTTTATAGTAAATTTTATTATTATGTTGTTACTACTTGACATCGCGTTAATTCTTATTATTACGACCCTATACTGTCCCACTGCTGAGCAAAGTTAATTTATAATAATAAATTATATAATTAATAAATTATATTTTTTAATAATTTAGTACTATTTTGTACTCATATTTATAACATTAGCAATTCCATAGTAATTCGCATTAGCAATTCCATAGTAATTGGCGATTATTTTGAAATCTTGTAATGGTTGTCGGCTTTATATTGTTAAGTTTGTGTTATTTAACAGTCACACATCATCTAAAACTGACAAACATTTGAATGTTTGTCAGTTTTAGACACACGCAGTTTAAATATTGACGTTTCAAAAAATTGCCTATTATGTAACTAGTAAAACATTGTGATCATTAGAAATTATGTTAATTAATTATATTGTATATATAATAAATACAAAAAAGATAAAAAGATACACCAAAATGTATTTACCTGTACTCTATAGACATAAGACTTTTTTAATCAAATAATTCCGGAAAATATAAATGAAAGTCAAGTTCCTTAAATATAATTTATTAAATCAAAACATTTTATTAGTTCCCTTATCCACTACCATTGTTGTATTATTTGAATTAGTAAGAATATAGAATTGTGATCCTCCATTTTGGCTCATAGCAATATGTGCTTGGAATTGGGCTGATAGGGAGTGTCACATGGCACTTACGTTTATCAGCTAGTGATAACCCAACCATTGCATTAAGATAAAAAATAGAGGAAGTCTGGCCTTAATTATTATTTCCATAAATATAAAAATATTTTTGTATAATACATATAATTACAAAATACTTTTAATTCACTGTTATCTATAGTTACTCGTATCAAAAGATTAAAGTTACTGACGTCATGATTACGACAAAACAACCTTGATCATCTTTGGCGTTTGCAGCAGTGCTGTAAAAATACAATGCAAAATCACTAATCGCACCTAATCCATAAATTAATAAAACTATTTGCCTTTTTTACGACCCAGAAGCTTATCCAGGAAACTCCTCTTTCTCTTCACTTTTTTATTTTCCTTCCTTTGGCTTCCTTCGGCTTCCTCGGTCATTTTTTCTAACAATGCTGGAATTGTTATATCAGTGAACTTATCCAAAGGTTTACCATCCTCTTCTCGTTTTGGGATAGTCGACATTTCCGGTACCTGATCAATCTTTTCTTCTAACTCTGCCTTGTTTGTATCTTCTTTCTTATTTGTTTCTAGAACGGTGTTCTGATGATTGGTCTGCATTACTTCTGTTTTTTCTTGTTCATCATTAGAAGTGTGCTTGCTCTTTGCAATCTCTTCATCTAAATCTTCGTATTTAGATCGCCTTTCATTATCTTCTTCTGGCTTTAGGACAGTCGACGAGTCCGCCGGCATCTCATTATTTTCGTCTAACTCTGCCTTGTTTGATTCTTTTTTCATATTAGCGACAAGAAAATCGTTGTGAAGGCTGGTTTGTTTTATTTCGGTCCTTTTTTCTTGTTCATCGTTAGGAGTTTGTTTGCTCTCCGCAACATTTTCATCTAAATCTTTGATGGTTTGCATGTTATGTTCCTTTTTAATGAATACATCATCATCTCCAAATTTGTTAAAAGTGTCATCTAAAAGCTTTTTGTCGGCACTATCCACACTGTCTGCCATACTAGTTGTTGATTTAGGAACTGATCCCACGATTCTAGGCCTGGTCGGCGGCAAGTTCCAATTTATGGGCTTGCGTTGCGGTGAATAACGTTTCACTAATTCTTCAAATAATCTCTGATGGTCAATTTTTGGCGATATGTCGTGAGGTAAGCTTTGGTGCCTAGATTTCGCTTTGGCTTCTGGGTTTTGATTTTCTTTTTCACCGTTTACTTGAGCTGGCCCTAAATCGACAACAACTCGGCGTATTGGTGGTGGTGTTGAATAAGGTTCAGCGAATGGAAATTTATATAAGTTAGGACTTTCAATCTTGTACTTCATTGCAGTCACACTTGTTGCCGGCATCGAGGAGCGTACTCCAGTTCGCGCAAAAGGACTGGGCGTGGTTGGCTCATGCAAGTTGGAATTTAAGAAATCTCTTCTCAATTTGGACAGACGACGGGTCCTCTCTGTCATACTGTGTCTATAATCCATGTCGCCACTCTGATTTAACTCCGAAGTGAAATTGTCGGAATATTTTCGGGTTCTGAATTCTAAATTATAGTCATCTCTTGACTCACGCATGCTGGAGTAGCCTGAGGCGTTGCGTTTGAAATTAGACGCGGTCATGGTGGGGTTGGAGGTGATGATGGGTTCCACCTCCTTGTAGACCGGCATGGCGGTTGTGTCCAATAGTTGAGGAAGAAACACAGTTTCGTACTTGCCGAACACCTCTCGACGCTGTGCGAACTGATCGACTCCGATGATTTCCCGCGAGTTCACACTTGTTGTAGGCGATTTAGTTTCCATTTACCCGTTCGATTACAAACCGCAACACTTGTGTATTTAATACTATTTTCCTGCAAACACTGTATTTCTATTTTTGTATGTCACACATTATGACTTCACCGGTACCATCGTTCTTACAAAAGACGTCTACACTTTAAATTGGAGAATAAAGGTGGTCCAGTCGTCCGTATAAGGCAGGCCGTTCGCGATATATGGTGAGTGATCAATAGAGTGGTTGCGATAAGATATGAACGTCGTGTAGCGCTGTACTTTAACTGTTTCTTTATCTTTCAGTACTCGAAACAGTTGAGCAAATAGCAGCGAGTGAACACAATCGCGTTCGTAATTAATCGCGAACTGAGTGAAAGCGGGCCGCTGCGGCGATGGGCGATCGTCAAGCGAAGCGCTCATTACATAATGAATATTAAAACAAATGGCCTAAATAAGCGTGCTACATCAACGTCTTACTGGACTATTTAGCTTGCTAATTATGGCTCATTTATATAACAAATAAGTTTAAGTATATGGCTTGCAGTTTTATTAATGTTTGCTCCTAATTACTATCTAGTTAATTGCTCAGCGAATAAACAAGGAAATCAAATAATGAGGAATTGTGCTTGAATATTTCTGTCCTACATAAACTTTTGGTTTGAAAACCATACTGTTGTGAATATTATATAAACAATCAGTAAAAGCGGTCAGTCCGAAGGTATCGGATGGTGGGTTTTAGGACAAACATTCCGGAAATCGATAAATAAAAGGTAATGTCATTTTTATTTCGATATAAAGTAACCAAAGATGGACATTAACGATTGATGGATATACCTCTACATTATGATGCACATACACCTACGTATTTTTCTAAGTAGGTATTTGGGAATTACATTGTAATTAATACATTTGTTCCCCAATCATATGACCAAAGATAATTTCAGTTATTCTTTACACATTATCATTATCAATCACCAATTGTTTTATTTAATCTTATACACAAGTACCTATTTCAAGTAAAATGTAATGTTATGTAAAAAGGAGTGGTCATACACTTGCACGAATGTTTTATCACGCGAATATAATCTAATCACATTAATGATTGCAATTTAGGTAAATGACGAACTTTATTGTTAAGTGTAGGAAGCATGTAGGTACCTATAAATCGAATCAATTTTATTGTGTTATTTATTTAAAGCGTTGGCTGTGAAGGTTATTCGTCTGCAACCATTTAAAGATACTATATAATGTGTTAGACATTTCCGTTGTCTATATGAATTTTGTATTTGGAGTAGGCGGCTGAATTCGTAATGACCTTTTCATAGACACGAAAATATTGCGTATAAAAATTTAAATAAAGTACCCACTATAAGATGACCCATGACAGATCTATATTAGAGCAAAACTAAGCTTCGGCGCTTTTTCGATCAAAGAGGAGTCGCGAGGAATTGAAGAAATTTGTTGAATAACAATTTTTTTTAGTTTTCGTTCGTATTACTCAAAATTAGTAAACATTAATTAGCACTTGCTTTAAACTTTTCAAGAAAAAACCAAAAAAACAGAAAAACAATCGGCAGACAATGTTGACAATAGGCCACAATTGGCCTATGTTCTAAAAAGCATAGCCTTTCCTACGGACTATGGCCAGCAGTGAGACCTTGATGAATAACCAATAGTTTCAGATTTATTTTCTGAGTAGGGGGTAAGAATGTTTTGCATAGGTACACTTCTCAGATTCGAAAAAACTCCGTATTCATTACGTACAGGATTCTTAGTAACCTGTTGTTAAAGTCAGGTATTTAAATTTTTAAACTAATTGATTGTACCTAATAGTTGCGTATATGTCTTGACTCACTTTGTAGTGGATGAGACACAAAGAACAAGTACCGAAGGTGAACGTACGATTGAAACAAGCTTGAACCACGTAACAGATTTCTTTTTCTTATGCCATTGCATAGCTATGCCTGAGAATTTACACATTCACAAATGTAAAATGCGAACAGAATGGCCAAGACTGCGTCATTTGCGGCCGCGAAGATGGACTGTTATTGGGACATCGAAGTTAGGTGGGAACATATAATATATAATATTGAAAGTCAATATATAGTCCTAAAATAAAAGAAGTATCGATACGATAAGACTGAGAAGAATGGATGAGACCGTCATAACTTATTTTATAAAAAAAGACCTCAAAAGTTCGTGGAATTATCTATTCGCCAAGTTTTATTGAAATTGGTTACCGGAAAGTACACGAAACCGGATTCATCCCCTAGTACGCCACCCTTAGAGGTGAATAATCTTTTTTGGCGACAACTCAAATAACTTCTAATATAGCAACTTGTTTAGACAACATATTTACGAAAGTCGTTCCAAGTTAAATCTATTATAAATAAATTACCTGTTTGCGGCACAGATTTTTATTATCCGATTTAAAATGTTTTTTTTGTGTCCTACTTAATCGGGTTAATTACGTGGGGCGCACTATAAGTTTCCGGAATGAATAAGAAAAAAATACTACAAATGGTCAGAAATGAATTTGTTGTTTTTCAAAATATTCTCCGTTAGCGTTAACGCACTTTTTCATAAGAAATAACCAATTTTGAAAACATTTATGCCACTCCTCCGTGAGTATCTCTGAATCATATTTTTCATACTCTTCGACAGCCTCCTCAGGTGATGAAAATCGTTGACCGCGTAGCTGGTTCTTCATTTTTGGAAATAAATAAAAGTCGCAAGGTCGCCAGGTCGGGCCCGTACGCAGGATGGCTCATAAGGTCAATGTTGTTCACTTTCAAAAATTGATTTGACTGTCTGGTCGTGTGAGAACTGGCATTATCGTGGTCCAAGATGATATGGCGTTAACAGTTTTTTTTACGGAGTTTGTCAATAACTTCCGGCGAACAAATGGTCGTGTACCAATCACTATTCACGGTACAACGATTCTCCAAAGCAACAGCCACGTGTCCAGTTTTATTAAAAAAAGAAGCAATCATCAATAAGCTTGACCTATTATGCTCATAAAAGACACTAATTATTATTGAACAAGAACATATATTACAAAAACTCACAATAATGAGTTCCGTGTCAGCGGTCTTAACGGGCTCCTGTCCAAGCGAACTCTTGAGCTCAGCGAGCATGCGCAACGCGAGCAATAACGCAGTAAACACGTTGACCTGGATCGCCTCTTGGCGCTGTCCTTTCGCCATCTTTATGCATTCAGCGAAGTGCTCTAGCATTTGTTGACTGAAAAACATTTACGCTTTATGACCAGTTATTACGTGCTTATTGAGGATACTATTTTCATACTTACCTAGTAGTTGACACATAGTTGCCAATTTGTATTAAAATATCCAAATAGAAATGTACTACGTGGGGCGCACTATATGTTTCCGGAATGAATAACAAAAAATACTATAAATGGTCAGAAATGAATTTATTGTTTCTCAAAATATTCTCCGTTAGCGTTAATGTACTTTTTTATAGAATGAACCAATTTTGAAAACATTTATGCCACTCCTCCGTGAGTATCTCTGAAACATATTTTTCATACTCTTCGACAGCCTCCTCAGGTGATGAAAATCGTTGACCGCGTAAAAGTAAAAAAAGAAGCAATCATCCGCTTAGAGACACTTTGCACGCGCGCCACTATGGTTGGTTTTTGCTCATCTCGAAAAACCCATACGCTTGATTGCTGCTTTGTTTTGGGATTGTAACTATAAATCCATGTTTCGTCACTTATTACTATATGTCTTACACCAAATTTGACGCCCCTTCGTTGAATCTGGTAAGCATGGCATTGCACCAAGTGACGCGATCCGTTTTTTGAGCCTCAGTCAAATTGTATGGGATCCACCGAGCGAGAACACAGCTTTTTCACACCCAAATGTTTGTGTAGTATTGATTGTATTTGACTCATGCCTTTGCCTAATGGTGCCCGAATCTCATGGTATATCCATGCCTATCTGTTTTGATCGTACGGCGCACAGTATCGATGTTTTGTTGTTCGCAGCGATGGACGGGCGACCATCACGAAATTCGTCACTGAGATTCACACGACCGCGATTGAATTCTGCAAACCAGCTGTAAATAGTTATCTTGCACGGTGCGTCATCGCCAAAAGCAGTTTGAAGCCGAGCGAAGCTCCGCTGAGCTGTTGAATTACACTTAGTCGTAGATAATCATACTACGAAAATTTTCACGAGTTAAATCCATGGTGATGTAGACAACCAATTTCTAAAATGACGCCACAATGTAAAAACAAGTGACAGTCAGACGAAACAAACTAACTGTATTCTACAGCCAAAGAGTTCCATTTTCAAATGTTGTAATTACTTTTTAAATATTGTTTATGTAAGTGACCAGTTCCGAATTTTTGCGCTCAGGCGAATACTTGATGAGTCTTGGAAGCAAGGCAAACGTATATACATACTTGCATTGGATATTGAGAAAGCTTTTGACTCTGTAAGTCTAAACGCACTCCGGGATGTACTTCTTACTAGAATAAATAAAGCCCTAACAAACAGGATCATTAAGGCCTGTATGAACGAAATAACGAGCATTAAATGGTTTGGGCAACAAACAAATCGGATAACAAAAGGCAAAATAGGAGTAAAACAGGGGTTCTCCTACGCGGCCCAACCGTGATGATGGCTCCCTAAAACATGACATGGAATACTACTAACGTAACGAAGACGACTGGATAGAACTAACTAAAGATAAGGATAACTTTAGGTAAGCAGTTGAAGATATATAAAATGAGATATATAAAATTCTGGAAACCGACACCAAATCAGAAGGGGAAAGAAATAATACAACTTGAGCTCCATGCAGCAAGATCCACTACGGCAACACGAAGCCCAACACCACCAACGCTCATTCCTAACAACACTACCTAATCACCTACCCAAATAACTAACTACCCCTACTACCTACTTTCTGTCACGCGCTGCATAGCCGGCAGGAATCTGGCCACCGGTTGCGGCTGGTTGGTCTTTCCCTCCACAATCCCGAGCGTGTCACTCCCTGAAACTGTGCCTCCTGGTATATCCGGCTTGTCCGGGTCAAATTTACTCTGGCTGGGTGTGGTGCCAATGAGCAATTAAGTTTTTAACGTTTGTAACGTACTTGGTGTAACGGGCTAGTGTCCGCAACTCGACGTCAAGGCGCCTATTTTGCGTGTGGTTTAACGTAGTAACAACAGAACGTGATACTGTTTTTAAGTCTAGAATCGTAACCATTAATAATTCACTGATATTTAGTGATTCCGGTGACGGTCGCCCGACTGTGGGCATTCATAAAAGTAGAAAAAAAGCTGTATGAAATACTAGAGACAGTTTTAAGTAGAGATGCGCCGCGTACTCGTTTGCTACTCGGGGCTC